CACTTGAGAACTGGAGTCAATCCTCTCAAATGTTGCTGCTGTTTTACCAACTAGCTATATATCCACTCAGTAATTTCAGTCCCTCTACTTGATTCACCAGATCTTGGTAAGTGAAACTATGTAGGCAATGGTGTGGTTTTTAGTACTTGTTTGATAGAATGGATTTTTTTCTGTGAATTTTTAAACAAATTTAAACAATGGCCTTCAGTGTATATTAGAGCAAATGTTTGAAGGCAGCTGGAAGGGACACCAAATACAGATGTTTGGAACAAGAGGCCTAGCTTTCAGCCCATCTCATCATTCAACATGCCTTCTTCACTAAGTTTCAATATTTCTGGTCTTTGTTTTAAGAGTGAGACATGTGACTCTTCCTTTCACTTAAAAGCATAGAGTCCATTGTACGGCTATTAATAGACCTAATTTTAATACTGTTGTGTCTCAGAGAAAAGAAAGGTCTGAGGAGAGAGAAAGAGATACAACAATAGTCAGTTTCTAGAGAAGTCAGAACACAAACATTTATAAAGTTTGCTGTCTTCTAAGGGCATAGTTTGTGGCACCCCAAAACAAATAGCAACATCAAAGATCACTGACCGCAGATCATCATAACTCCCATAATAACGAAAACGTTTTTGATGTTGTAAGAATTATACAAACGTGACACAGAGACAAGAAGTAAGTTCACTCAGTTGGAAAAATGGCACTGATAGATTTTCTGGATGCAGGGTTGCTACAAACCTTTAATTTGTTTTTGTTTTGTTTTGTTTTGTTTTAAAGAGACAGCATCTGTGAAGCACAATAAAATAAGATATGCCACCAATAGATTTTCTGGATGCAGAGTTTCAACAAACCTTTCATTTGCTTTAAAAAAAAAAAAACAGTGCCTGTAAAACACAATAAAATAAGGTATGCCTGTATCTGTGCATCTAAGCATATCTAAACATATAAAAAGTACAGTAAAAATACGGTATTACAATCTCATGGGACCACTGTAGTAGATGTGGCCTGTGACTGACTAGAAGGCTGTTATGCAAGACTACCTAATTTTTATTTTAAAAAACTGAGTCTATATGAATAAAAGCACCTAATTAAAGTCTGTGAATACCAGTATGTAATATATAGTGACAGTTATTCACAAAACATATACTACTATATATCTTTCCTTGAAAATTTTAGCTACTTTTCATTATTAATTTATAATAAATATTACTAAAGTGCCTCTATTTTCTAAACCACAACCCAGAGCACAAGAGGATCCATCCTTTGTGGAAGGCTGGCTGAGGGACAAAAAGGCCAAGCCAATGACTTATTGGCTCTATTCCCTAGATCGATGATTTCTGACTGTTGATTTGATGCTAACACAGATGATTCCAACTATCTCAAGAGGTATTATACAGTTCTCAAAGCAAATATATTTAAAAAGAAAACCTAAATTTAAAAAAGTTCTTAAAAAAAGAAAACCAAATAGGATAGGAATGGAGAAAAGACACATAAGGCAGCCAAAAACAGAGTAAGAAGGCATCCTAGCTCAGGAGCAGGGCTGTTGGGATGACTGTGCTGATTTGTGGTGAGTTACTAGCTTGTATGATTTCATACCTCACTGACAAGTGGCTTTCCTTGAAAGCGCTAAGTCACAGGGTTTGTCCTTTAGAGCACTTCGTCACTCGGTATATCAGTAAAGGACAATAGAAATCCAAGTGACCAAAACACTTCAGCTTAAGGTCTGATTCACTATGAGCATTTGAAGGAAACCTTTCTAAAAGACTACCTTACTACCTTGGGAAAATCCTACAATAAACTCAACTCCAGGTTTTTTGGATGTTGAGGATTCAACTGTCTACAGCTGGGGCCAGCAAATATTTTCCTAAAGGCCCAGAGAGTAAATATTTTGGGCTCTGCAGGCTACGTGACTCTATAGTGTGAAAGCAGTTATAGTCCATATGTAACCAAACGGATCTGGCGGTGTTCCAATAAAATTTTATTTACAATAATAGATTTGTAGGCATGAGTCATAGTTTGACAACCTCTGGTCAAGTCTATCTTTATATGAAAAATACTTCTTTCACACCTTTAAAAAGGAGTTGAAATTTCTGACATCAGAAATTCTCATGTCATTATTCATGAAATCAAATAGGGCTTTATCAGTTATTTTTATTTAGAGAAAAAGTACATGTCCCACCATAACCGCAACAACTTGGGCTCTACAAATTGGGCATTTGTGATTGCATACCTAGGATCAGATTGAGGTTTACCACCTCACTATCAAAAAAAAAAAAAAGAGTTTGTTCCCTGTAATAACAGGGCCCAAGGGAATAGTTGTATACATGCTCAATCAACTTAAGAAAATAAACTCACTTAAAGTAACACAGCAAATTGAGGGCAAACTAAGACCATTAACTCAAAATAAATTGTATCTGTTTATTTAAGTGCATCAGTCTGAATCTTTACCTCAAAATAGTTTATTCATTACTATATGCATGAAATCAATAAAACAATTATTTAAAACTATCCTGCCTACTGTTCTTTGATTCAGGCCACCCAGCTTTCAAGTCAATAAAGTTTTACTGAAACATAAGATATTCATTCATTTAAAAATATTTTCTGAATGCTTATTAGCAACTAGGCACAGTTTTGAAGCTGGAGGGTACAATACAGTCCTGCCATTAAGGAATTCTCAGTCTGCCAAGAAATCTCTTCAGAAAACAATTAATCTTGACAAAACAACATTACTGTCAGATAAAATTAATATAGGAATTAATTTTCAAGTTTGATGAACTGCTATATTAGTCATTAGATACCTTATCAAAGTAAGTATTAACATGATTTTCACATATACCCTTTTTACATTTGATTATACACATTGAGTAATAAATGGAATAGCATTAATTTCCAGGTATATAATAAGAAAACAAATGGTGTATGCTACAAGGTCAAGTTCTTTACAAATATTTAATAGAAGCCTTAAACTGCAGAGCAATCTGTATAGGAGAATTCTCTTTGTATGTTTAATGATACATGGAACTTTTCTGAAGGAATGTTAACAGTACGGTCTGGTGATGGAGCCAGTATTTAGAATGAGGGATGGAACTTTTTCTTTTCTCCTTATACACTCCTTCTACTTTTAAATTTTCTTTAAATAAAGAAGCATTATTAACTTTTTTTTAAAAGCAAGTCATTAACATTTACAAAACAAAACAGTTCTCATTATGAAGTATACAAATAGGGTTGGGGGGAGTTATATCTAAATTTATCCTTTTATTCTACAACCTATGAATGCTTTTCTCTATCCTAACCTCATCCACAACACTTAACTTTTATTTATATTTTTGCTCTTTAAAAGGTGTGGAAAAGTTGAGGGTGGGGGAAGAATACAGAATCCCAAACAACATGTATAAACATGTTTGTGAGAAAAGAAGCAGAGATTACCATTTACTGAACAAATTAGATTCCCTGAGCACCCTGCAAACCAAATGCAAAGATAGGTAAGATATTCCTTTTCCTTTTCCACTTACTATGGACAAACAGAACTATAAAATTAATTAAAGAAATGTTTTCACTGTTTGTTAACTTGTTTTCCTTTTGGGAAACATGACAGGCTAGTTCTTACACTTTAACAGTCCATCAAGGGAATTTTTAACTTAAGCAATTATAAAATAAAAATGTACTGACGCTAAAGATACCTTTATAAACCTGTCACTTTAATCTTTCTTCATGACTTGGTTTAATTAGGAAGCTATATAGTCACATAAAATTTCACTGAGAAATTACAAGCATTACTAGTCATTGGACATGAAATAACTTATAATATTGAACTTCTCATTCTCAGAATAAAAGACTAAATGATGTGAAATTTAATAAAACTTCTTGGAAGATTTACAGAACATTTTTATTCTGTTCATGCTTTGTAAAGGTTTCTCATGCTTCAGTAAATCAGAAGTAACACTATAAGGCTGAGGCTGAAGGATCGCCGGAGTCCAGTAGGTCGAGGCTGCAGTGGCCGGGAGCGGCCATTGCACTCCAGTCTGGGTGACAGAGTGAGACTCCAACTCAAAAAAAAAAAAGGAAGTAACGCTGTAAGTCCACATTTTCTTATTTAAAACCTAATACTAGGAATAAGAAAGAAAGCAAGTTGCTACAGTCTCATTGACAACTATGAAAAGGCAACAAGCCAATGAAAACAAATATGGTTTTCAAAAAAAACCTGAAAATGTTTCTAAATATAAGAACTAATTTCAGGGAGTTTGGGAGGATAGAAAGAGATTTCTGAAAGGAAAACAAAATTACAGCTAGATATAAGGGATAAATTCTAGTGTTCCACTGCACCATAGGGTGATTATAGTTAATAATAATTTATTATATATTTTCAATTAGCTGGAAAAGAGAATTTTGAATGTTTCCAACACAAACATGATAAATGTTTGAGGTAATGGATGTGCTAATTACCCTGATTTGATCACTATATATTATATGTCTCCAAACATTACCATGTACTCCATAAAGATGTACAATTACTGAGTCAATTTTAAAAAACTGTAAAGAACTTATTTTGAATTCAATTTAAAATACACTCTAGAAGCACAGTAATTTCTGGCTACCTGTTTAATGAAATCTAAAGAACACTGAATACCCAACTAATTCAAATAAAAAATAATACAGATTCTACAAATTGAGTCTATGTGAATAGGAGTATTTTCTAGAAACAACCATTAGTTTATTGCTTATTCCTTGGCATTCATATGGAAACTTCCTAATACTCAGAGTGAAAACATGCTTGACAAGACCTACTAAAAAAATTACAACTGTAACACTAATCAGTTTTGCATGTTGAATTAAAAACCCCCACAAACTTAAAATTAAAAAGTCTAAAGTTAAATTTATATATCTTCATTTACCACTTCTTACTTTCCTTATAGTTAGAATAGATGTGAAATTTTTCACGTATACAGAATATACAACTTTTTGTTGTCATTAAAATCAGAAATTCAATTAATATGTTTACGAACCTCTTCTTGGACTCTCATGATTGAAGAGAATGCCATTCACTGCAAAGAGGTTATATGCCTCACGGAAGTTCACCACAATCCAATAGGCATAGAGTTTTGCTGCCCCTGTTGGGATAATTTTTTTAAAGCAGTGGTTTACTACTAAAGACAAATGCTGAGATGATTTTCACTCATCTTAAACAGTTACAACTTGCCAAAAGTATAATTTGTAGAAAACAAAAATCAAAAGCCAAAGACAAAGTAAAGTTTCCATGACAGTTAATCATATTCACAAGGAAATATTAAAAATTTTTAAACTACAATGTGTACACTACATCCCTTTTTTGGGGGGTTTGAGAAATTAGAAAGAAAAAAATTGGGGTTCTTTTTTTTTTAGATTAAAAAATATAGTTTATTTAGAAAGTAAATTGGAGAGAGAGAGAAAGAGGAGATTCACTTCCCCAAGTAGGGGAGGGGGCCAAAGCTTAAGAAAACATGGCCTGACCATAGTTCAAAGATCAAATGGCCAAACCACAGCTTAGCAAGGCAATGACCAAAAGTGGGGTTCTTAACATTCAAACTGCTTCGAAATTTTATAACTGAAGTCTTTTCATGAAAGTTCTCTTTAGAAATATGTTAGAAGTAATAGTCTTTTTTTTTTTTAATAATTTGTGCTCAGGGATACAAAAAACATGAAACCTCATCACTTCAGCACACTGTCACATCATTCAAGAAAAAGTATCATATTGGGTCTAATTTTCCTTTTAAAGCTATCTGTATGGAAAGGTTGAATGAACACAGATTGGTGAAGTGAGATGGTAATTTCACCCCGGAGGCAATGGCAGCAAATACTTGTAGTTACTTACCAATGTATAAAAGTATGCTTCTCAACAAGTCTAGTCACTTTAGTCTATCTCAATGCTAATCTCACACCCAAATGACTTCAGCCGTGAGACACGAACAGAATGAAAGCAAAAACGCCCCCCCCCACCCCATGCCCACAGAGAAAACCTCGCACACACACAGCTGTGAACATGCATTCTCACCATAGGGTGACCGAGGATAGAAAGGGGTAGTCTCCTTCTGGGGTATTTCTTGCACTTTCCCATAAAGTTCACTTGTTGAGGCTTGGTAGAACTTCACAGAGTTGATAAGGCCACAGGTCTTAACTGCATCTAGAAGCCGTAAAGTACCAACCCCATCGACATCTGCAGTATACTCAGCGAGGTCAAAGGAAATCTGCAAAGAAGAGGCAGAGACAGGGCTGCAAGGATCTGTTGATAGCACAGAGACACTGGCAAGGGTGACAAAGGTGATAATTTCACACTGTGAAGTGTTATGTTGGTGAGAAAATACTACTGTTTTCTAATAGCAGAATAAGAGTGTGAATGTCATCTACTTCTAATATCAAATGGCTGGAAAATATCTTGATGCCTATAATTGCCTATGGTAATGTGAAGAACACTTTAGCAATCCTCTATTGCCTGGAGCCCCTAAAGCATGATTTATCACAGGGCAAACTCTGCTCCTCAGAAGCATCTGGGATGTTACTTAAAAATTTGAGCCAATCTTGGGAGGAGGTGGGTATGTAGGAAAATCACATTTTAATGAGCTCCAATTGATTTTTATGTACACAGAAGTCTGAAAATGAGTTGTAGAGCACAGTTGATTTTTAAAAGGATTATTTTTGTTTCTTTTTAAATTATGATACAAGAATGACTTTGTAGTTTGTTACAAATACACAAGGGGGGACACCCCCAAAAAATCCAGAATTATCTTTTGGAGGGTCAGTACCTTGTAATACAGGCTTCCCCAGCTAGGTTACTGTTCTAGGTATCCATTGGCATCCGTGTATCAACTTGTATTGTTGGAAAAGGTTAAATTTGGCTTCAGTAAATTTTTTTGGAGATTCTTTTAACGTGTTTGATCATTTCTTGTTGGGTTATTTACGAGTGTACCAGCCCACACCACACTGAGGTTTCAGCAGTTTTTGACCACCTTTTTGCCTCATCCTCCCTATTCACACAATCACACCCCAAGTGACTTTTTTTTGTTTCCTCAGATTGAAAAAAAAAGTCATCAAAGGGAAACTTCTTGCTGATATGTGAAGAGGTGAAACAAAAAATGGCAGAAGCATGAAAAGACATCAAAATTGATGAGTTGAAAACTGTTTTGAGCAGTGGAAAAAGTATCTCGATAGTGTACTGCATCAAATGGAGAATACTTTGAAGATGACTGAAGTTTAAACATGTAAGAATAAATACACAATTTTTTAAATAAATAAATTCCAGTTTTCTGGGTATCCCCTATACATAATTTTGCTAAATTATAAGACACAGTGCATACAGCAAGATGCTAATGCTAATGTAACTTCTAAGAAGGTGTTGAAGAATAATTCAATATTTTGGAATTTTTTAAGGTACTTTTTAAAAATAAAAGTAACTCATGCTTTTTTAAAAATTCTATGTACACATAATGAACAAATGAGTTGAATATTAAGTCTCCTAAAATAATGAGGCTGAAAATCTTTGTCACTAGTTTATCCAGATGCTAATAAAGTCAGGCACAATGCAAACATGCTTCCCTTGATGCCTTGTGAATGACATCAATCCTCACCTGGAAATATCTCTCTTTGGAGTAAGATTACCAGCTTTATTACCTGGTCTTGAGCATCTCCTGAGCAGAAGCTGTAGCCTGTAGTTACTTACCAATGTATAAAAGTATGCTTCTCAACAAGTCTAGTCATTTTAGTCTATCTCAATGCTAATCTCACACCCAAATGACTTCAGCCATGAGACACGAACAGAATGAAAGCAAAACCACGCCCCCCCCCATGTACTAAGTACATAGTATTTAGGCAATTGCTCATCAGGGACTGGACTCAGACTATTAAACTCATGTGATCAAGGCTGATGAATAAAGCTCATGAAAGAAAAAAGGAGGGCAGTCGGGCTCGGTGGCTCAGCCTGTAATCCCAGCGCTTTGGGAGACTGAGGTGAGTGGATTGCTTGAGCCCGCGGGTTCGTGACCCGCCTGAGCAACTTGGCAAGACTTCATCTCTACAATGAATCAAAAAATCAACTGGGCATGGTAGCGCGCATCTGTAGTTCCAGCTACTTGGAAGGCCGAGGCAGAAGGATCGCCAGAGCCCAGCAGGCCGAGGCTGCAGTGGCCGGGAGTGGCCACTACACTCCAGGCTGGGTGACAGAGTGAGACTCCAACTCAAAAAAAAAAAAGAAAAAAGAAAAAAGGAGAGCAACCCCTTCGGGTCCCCTCCCACTATGGGAACTTCTCTGTCCTCTCAATAAATCCTGCTTTCTCAAAAAATAAAAAAAAGAAAGAAAAAAGGAGAAAAGTATGTCTTACCTAAAATCTTTCAAAGCCAAGAAAAAAAGTTAGAAGCCCCTGTATTCTTTTCTCATAACTGTTTATTGAGATATAATTTACATCAATAAAATTCATCCCTCCCCTTTTTTTAGTCAGGGTCTTTCTGTCACCCAGGCTGGAGTGCAGTGGCATAAACACAGCTCACCACAGCCATGATCTCCTGGATTCAGGTGATCCTTCTGCTTCAGCCTCCTGAGAAGCTAGGACTACAGGCATGCACTACCTCGCCCAGCGAATTTTTTTATTTTTTGTAGAGACCAGGTCTCATCATGTTGCCTAGGCTGGTCTCGAACTCTTGGGCTCAAGTAATTCTCTCACCTAGGCCTCTCAAAGAGTTGAGATTACAGATGGGAGTCACTGCCTCTGGCCAAAATTCACCCTTTTAAAGTTTACAATTCAATGGTTTTTAGAATGCTCACAGCACTTTGTATTCATCACCACCATCCAAGCCCAGAACATTTTTATCATCTCAGAAAGAAACTCTGACCCCATTAGCAGCTACTCCCTAGTTCCCAACTCCCACTATGACCCTGATACCCACTAGTTTACTTTCTGTCTCTATACATTTGCCTGTTGTGGACATTTCATACAAATGGAATCACAATAGGTGGCCTTTGATGACTGACTTTTTTCACTTACCATGTTTTAATTTCTGTTAAATATATACCTAGCAGAGATATTTGCAGTCTTTTTTTTTTCAAGGAATCAGTCAAGTTTGCTTTTTTTTTCTTTCCTTGGTTAGTTTTTCATTTATGTACATGCCGCCTAAACAGCTCCATGAAAGACTAGATAGTATTTTTTAAGTTCTTAGTACCAGGCAAATATTTTAAGCAATGTGCAAGTATATGTATACTATTTAATCCTAAAATCAGGTATTTAAACTGAGAAAGAGAAGCTGTAGTAAGTGGTGTCACCATATGTTATACTCATAGCAAATGTTAAATACACTGCATATATTATATATGCATATGTGAGATTCACAGGGAACCAAATGTTCCCATGTAAGCACCTTAATCATTAGAACATAGAAAAAGGAAACTGTACAACTTACAAGCTTTTAGTTTTGCTATGGAATCCAATTTATATATTATTCAGAGGACTAACTCATGGAAAAGGATTAAAGGCAGTTAGGCTGAAGACAGTAAATGAGGCTGCGGAATATGGGAGGATGATTGCATGTCTGCAGATTTTTAGGCAGCTCTATCAAGAATTAAGCACATACATTTTAAATTCAACATGCCAGAGGATAAGACTGGCTGACAGAAATCTGATTGTTTACAAGGTGTTTTATTATAAAGTAGCAAATTAAGTGGTTTCCATTATTAAGAAAAAAATCGTATGCAGTCATAAAGAACGACAAATATATGTACTTTGCAGCAACCTGGATGGATTTGGAGTCAATCATACTCAATGATTTATCACAGAAACAAAGAACTGAGTTCCATATGTTCTCACTCATAAGGTGACTTTGAACAATTATAATGCTATAAGAAAGTGATTGGCCGGGCTTGGTGGCTCAGCCTGTAATCCCGCGCCTTTGGGAGGCTGAAGTGAGTGGACTGCCTAAGCCCGCGGGTTCGAGACCCGCCTGGGCAGCGAGACCTCATCTCTACAATAAATCAAAAAATCAGCCGGGCGTGGTAGCGCATGCCTGTAATTCCGGCTACTCGGAAGGCTGAGGCAGAAGGATCGCCGGAGCCCAGCAGGTCGAGGCTGCGGTGACCGGGAGCGGTCATTGTACTCCAGTCTGGGCGATAGGGTGAGACTCCACTCAAAAAAAAAAAAAGAGAAAGTGATTGGCAGTAGTGGAAAACTGTCGGTGGGTGGTGGGACTGGCAGTTGAGGGAAACTGCTAGGGGAGTGAGGGGCATACCTCATCAACAAGGGTACCCGCATGATCAATGTTTGTATACCTAACCCTGAAGTGTAGCCCACATCTTTATAATAAATAAATACATTTTTAAAAAATCAAAATGGTACTTTCTAACTGATTAATTCCTAAAGGTTAGAAATGTGATCCTGAAATACACTGAAACATCAGGGTCTGGAGAGCTACAGCCCATGGGCCATCTGGCCCATTGCTCGTTTTTGTAATAAAGTTCTTTAGGACACAGCCAAACTCATTCATTTATGTGTTTTCTGTGGTTGTTTTTACACTATAGCATCAGAGTTGAATAGCTGCGACACAGAACTTATTTCCCATAAAGCCAAAAGTATTAACTATCTCAATCTTTTCAGGAGAAGCCTCCTGGCCCCTGAACTAAACCATAGTTATAACTGACAGCCAAAATAAGTAGGTTTTTTTAAAATATTTTTTTTTTTTTGTATCTTCTCAATACCACATATGGGATAATTATAGAGTATGTTTCCAATCACAAAAAGAGAGTGGCATTTTCAGAGGCATGGAGACTTAGTTAACAGTAGAAAACATATTTCACCTAATAAGCAGGACAAAAATACCAAACTGATTTTAAAATAATAATAATAATAGCCCAAGCCTACAAAACACCGCCCATCTAGAATAATTTCTTCACTTGGCCTCTGGATCCCCACATTCTTCTAGTTCCCCCCTATTTCATCGGTAGCAACTCTCTAGGCTCTGAAGCTGGTACCCACTTGGTATCTCGGGCCCCCTGCATCTCCATTCCAGCCCCAGCTCAGTGCTGGGCCTTCTCCTTCCACCTGCTCTCCAGTTGTGTCACTGGGTCTGGGACTCAAATCACCCTCTATGCAGATGGCCACTTGAAGGCCGCCTCAAGGAGCAGCAGCTTCTGGTGTTTTCTATCTACCTGAGATGCTTAATGCCACATCCCACTAACCTGGTCCCAAACAGGTTCCTGATTCTGTCTCCAAAGCTCTTCTTCCCTTTACCGCCCCCCTCTCTGAGAAATGCACTCAAAAGACAAAACCTAGGAATGGTCCCTGATTCCCCCTTCTCTTCAGAGTTCACTGAAGGACATCCAGTCACTTCTCACCACTTCCACTTGAAAGCAGACTGCCACCATTTTTCACAGGACTCCTGCAGGAGCCTCCAACTAGCATGATTAGAGGCCTTTTCCACCTGGACCCAGGAACTTCGCCACTTCAGCACCTGCTATGCTCTTTTCTCAGTACAGTTAGCCCCTCTGCCATCCTGCCATCCCCAGCTGAATACAAGTTTTTCTCTGCCTGGAATCTTTGTTCTGCCTGTCCCCTCTGTATGCATGGGTACCTCACCAACTGCATCCCTCTCTAAAAGCATCCAATGCTTGTCATTCTATACTTATCCACCATTAGCACTGCTTCATTTCTTCTTTATTACCTATCTCCCCTATTAAGATGTAGCTCCATGAGGACAGGGTCTTATCTTGTCATCTGCAGTGCTTCCCATGCCTGAAACACTACTTGAGGCACAGTATTTGCCAAATGACTGAAGATAACATGTTAACTTTTGTCAAACACACAAATATCAAAATAACAAAAATGAATAGTATAGAAAACAGGCTATCAGAATGACAGAAGAAGGTTGATAATTTACTATTATCGAGATAATAGGTAACATTCCAAAGGGCAAGACAGATAAAATTCTATATAAATTTCAATGCTTTAGCCTAAAAATTATGACAATTGTTTTAATAGCTACAT